GAGTGCCTTTCCATCTAAATGCATGGAAGCTAGTAGAACCTTAACATGTGCTTGAGTTTTATCAATAGTAAAAAATTGCTCACATTTATACAACCATTCTTTCACATTTTCACCATTGAATTTAGGGAAGTCAATTTTAGTGCATCTAGTGGCGAAATATTCAGGTCTGTGATGATTACTAGGTATGAATGGTGGTTCTTGTGTGCTCGAACTGGAAGATGGTTGACTGTTTTGCACCAGGACAGTCAAATTAGCGATCATTTGTTCCAGTTTTGAGAATTTTTCATCATTCACAGCGAACCTCTTGTTCATGGCTTCATCTACTTCTTTAACAGTTGGCGCCATTGTTTTACTCAATCTGAAGCTTCGTTAACGGATTTGCAGCAAGATGATGATCAAGAGCTCTGATACCACTGATACAAGTTAATTCCAATGAAGAATTGACCTTGTATACATCAATCTGTGGAGCTAAGGAAGATGGAAAACTTAGCTCGAGCTGGATTGATTAATGGCGGAAGAATAATCGTGAATAGAGATTAGGAAGAAGAATACAAATGAAAGGGGATTATCGTATTGATATGTCTCCAATTACAATCAGAAGTCTTTATTTATACAACATGTAGTTAGGATGCTAACTGACTTCAAACTAATTCTTTTTAACGATTTGGATTTTAGTTTTAATACTGTATCATTATAGCGGCTACCTTCGAACAGATTTAGCGAACGAATGACACATGAGGTTTGGAGTGCCAATTCCTTCTTGGAAACAGCGCAGTGGACTCCAACTGGTGCACCGAGCTGTAGCGGATGACGTACAGCGGCATGGACGGCGGCGGAATAGATGGTTATGGCGGCTCTGGCTCGGCTCATCGTTTTTTTGGATTCAGAACAGTTCTTCATTTTCCAGGCAGATTTTTGCTCGATTTCTTGTAAATGGAATGATTTCCAGATGTTTTTGGGAGGATTTCTCACTTCATTATGCTCAATCTCTCAAATGAAAGATTACAGGAGAGATTTGAGCAAGAGAGGTGAGGAAGAAGATGAATAGTGTTGAATGTGGAAAATTGAATTAGGGTTACAAGAGGCTTCAAAGGGGGGTTTTCCCAAAATATGGGAAAAGCTAACATGAGTTTCCAAAACACGGGGATAAAACTAGGTTTTCTAGGAAAGCGGGAGTCGGAATTGGCTATTCCGTCTAGCGTTGGGGTTTCAAAAAAATGCATGCCACTTCGAGTCGGAATTCCGTAATTTGACACCATGTATTTTTTTTATTTAATTGCAGTTGGAATTACCAAATCCGAGTACAGTTTTTTTTCTAGCATGCACTTTTGAATTTATTTAAATAAGGTCCCACTACATGTTTTGAAATGTAATCCCCTACACTTCCGAAATCAATTCGAATATTCATGTGAGGTGTAAGTTAATTAATTTATTTATTTATACTAAAAGTGAATATTTGTAAATTAGGGTTATGTGATTAATTTTATGTGATTATCTAAATGACTAAATTATGTGATTAATTTTATTTGATTAAAATTATTCAATTAAATTTTGTTTGATTAAGTTTTATCTTATTATATTTTATATGATTAAATTTAATCAGGTTTTTAACGGTACAAAATAGATATAAGTAACATTTAGAAATTTCATTATTGTAATTATTATATCTTTATTTTTTTTTATTATAGGAAGTTAAGCACACTCAAAATCCAGTCAAAATTCTTTGCATGAAGAAAAACTACTACAACATCGTAAATAATTGATCATATAAATTCATGAAAGGAGCGGAAGATAATCTATCATTCTTTTAAGAAGAAACAGTCATAGATCTTTATAAATTATTATAGCTATATATTGTCCTTAAAAAATTATTGTAATTACTATGTCCTTATAGGGAAAACTCCCGAAATAGGACTAAAACAGTTTGAAAATTCCAAAATAGGGTTGCTATGTTTTTTATTCCCAAAATAAGAATAATTACTGCCGAGTTTGGAAAATACTGCCATGTTTGAAGTTTGGTACTGCCAAAACATGGCAGTAATTAGTCATATTTTCGGAATAAAAACATGACAGTCCTATTTTGGAATTTTCGAACCTTTTTAGTCCTATTTCGGGTAATATCTCGTCATCTTATAAAGGCGAGTCGTGCTTGGTGCACATATTTGTGTGTACACCTTTGACAAAGATAGAGTTGTCTGTATACACAAAACTTATATTGAAATATAAAAGTTGTCTATATACATACTCCCTTCGTCCCCTTTTAAATGTTCCAGAAGAGGGTAACATGAGTTTTAAGAAAAGTGGAATTGTGTGGTTGATATTAATTGATAAAGTAAGAATAAAGTAAGAATGATTTTGAGTCACACAAACTTTATTAAATAAGGTATGAGACAATTAAATATGGACATCCCAATATGATAAAACATGACATTTAAAAGAGGACGAAGGGAGTATATAGATAACTCTGTCTATATAGACAAACAAGTGTGTCATAGTGTACACTAAGAGGTGTACACCTAGCATTTTTTTATACTCACATACGGAGTAATTGCTAAGGAGTACATATTACGTAGTACTACCTCTGTCCCACTAACATCGGGACAAAAGGGGATGACCCGATTATTTAGAAAAGTTAGCTTATGTGATTGATATTGAATTAATAAAATAATAATAATAAATAAAAAATAATTTAGAGTCACACAAACTTTACCAAATTTAATACTTTGAATGAAACAATTTTAGTTGGATTTAGCGTATACTCTGTATTTTATTGCTACGGATTACTACCTCCGTCCCGCTGGAAGGTTTCCATAGCAAAACAGAACGATTATTTAGATAATAATTAAATAACGTACTTAGGCTATGTTTTGAGAAATAATTTTAATATGTATATATTATAATGTGTTAGTATTGATAACTGTGGTGTTATAAATGTATAATTTTTAATATTTAATGACTAATTTGTCAATTAAGATTGTTAATTGTTTTCTAATATGCAAATGAGAACCTTCTTATGGGACGTCCAAAAAAAGGAAAGTGGAAACCTTCTAACGAGAGGGAGGGAGTATTTAATAAGTATATACTCCATACGATGTATTATATATAGCAAATTTCCTTATGATAATTATAGTTGCTATAGTATAAAGAACATTATTACTTATGAGTTAGGGCCACCTAGTATAAATTAATTCCTAATGAATGAGTATTATTGCTATGGAGTGGACACGTATATTGTTGGAGTTTTGCTCTTGACATAACTAGTAAACTCACCCGTGCGATGCCTTGTAACACCCCGCCCCGTAGGGCCCGAGGTAGTTACTCATACACACCCTCCAGACCTCTAGTACTGTCCTCACAAACCGCCACTAGCCTTTTACACGCACTTTGTCCTCACTCGTGCGCGCCCTGAGAAACTTCCCAGGGGGTCACCCATCCCAAGACTACTCCCGTACAAGCACGCTTAACTTTGGAGTTCTTGGTGATGAGCTCCCTTAAAAGGAGATGCATCTTGTTGGTATGAGTAGTACTATTAATCCATTTCAATTTAATCTCAAATGTTACAATCACCCCCACTTAGGAACGCAACGTCCTCGTTGCGCCCATAAACCAATCTCAAATCTCAATCAAATCCCAGAATCTTCCCCCACTAAGTGCCCGCCCGAAATCCAACGGGTCAACACACTGTCGTAGGGTTGCTCTGATACCACTTGTAACACCCCGCCCCGTAGGGCCCGAGGTAGTTACTCATACACACCCTCCAAACCTCTAGTACTGTCCTCACAAACCGCCACTAGTCTTTTACGCGCACTTTGTTCTCACTCGTGCGCGCCCTGAGAAACTTCCCAAGGGGTCACCCATCCCAAGACTACTCCCGTACAAGCACGCTTAACTTTGGAGTTCTTGGTGATGAGCTCCCTTAAAAGGAGATGCATCTTGTTGGTATGAGTAGTACTATTAATCCATTTCAATTTAATCTCAAATGTTACACGGTCGGAGAATTTTCCTTCAAATTTATTTGTGTTCACTAATTCAAATTACACTATCAATTGATGAGAACATCTATTTCCATGGAATATTGATATAACTTCAAGCAATAAACAAAACACACTTATAATATATATTATAGTTAAAAAGAGAGCACTAAGCATTACTTAAAAGATTAAAAACATCCAACAAATACTAAGAAACCATAACATTGTGAATATACATTTCATGTAATCCTAAACATTGTTGAACACTTTTTGAATACAACATTCTGAGTCTTGTTAGTAGTTTCTTCTTCTTCATCAATACCCGTGCGATGCACGATTGGTGAAATTTTGCAGATATAATTAACATTAGCCAACATTTCAATTAAAATATAAACAAACTTGTAATTTTAATTGAATTGTTTAGAATTATACTCCATACATAATAAAACTTGACGTAAATGAAACATATAAAATACAATTTACTAATGATTACAGAGTAGTACATTATTTTTTATAGCCCACAAAATAGTAAGTAACACGCAATATAAACATCATTTGAAAAAAAATTACATTTCATGACAAATTTAATGAAACACTTCTTTGTACCTCTTGTCTAGCATTAACCCTTGTTAAAAGGGAAATTACACTAAATAGGACAAAAAAAGTTTTATGTATTCCAAAATTGGACCCTTAGCATGACAATATTTTTCAAGCTTGACATTAATTACGCCTCTTTTGGCAATAAAAAACATGACAATCTTATTTTGGAATTCTCAAACTTATTTACTCATATTAAAAAAATTTCCCTTATTAAAACTCATCATTCAAGTAAATTTTTGACAAAGATTTTTTTTCATTTCAAAATCAAAGGTCTAGAAAGCCGGAATAGCTTACTCAATACATAGCCAGCTAGCTAGCAGGGCCGGTCCTGAGAAAATGGAGGCCCTGTGCAATAACAAAATTTGGGCCTTCCTTTCTGACATATATATTGATCGACAAACAGATGTTCTTAAAACATAGCTGCAGCAATTATAAATTTATTAAATATAAATAGCCTAATTAACTCATCAACTAATTACATTTAATTCTAAATAACAACCAAATTTTTAAATTTCATTATTTCATCAATTCATCATACATTATTACATTAGTAGAGTAGTAGTACTACTACAAAAAAAAATATTTTGGGCCCTCAATTTTTTTGGGTCCTGTGCGGTCGCACACCCTAAACTCCCTCTGGGCCGGTCCTGCTAGCTAGCTAGGTCTTGTTAATGCAAATCAACCATGGTTGTTGTACCCACCTTACACCCACCTCTGTGAAGGCTATTTTTTTGTCTGTGAAGCCGGTTCACAGACAAAATATGTCTTTGAATTCCTTCACAGACATATTTTGTATGTGAAGAAGTTCACAGACAAAAAAAATAACTTCACAAACATGGATGGGTACAAAAGTGGGTATAAAAGTGGATTCAAACATCATTTTACAATGCAAATATGGACATTAGAAGACACCTCTATTCCAGGAAGTAATGGGAAATAGAAGTCAATCCAAACGAGGTCTATCATCTCACCATAAGCAATTTAATTGATTTGCAGCTAGAAGTTGCAATAATATAATATCAGTCAGTATGCACAACAATTAGGAGCGTGTTTGGTTGCAGCAATGTGAATGACCTCCTTTCCCATTTGAAGAGTGAGAGGGTCGTGGATCACCATCTTGTTAGCGTCAAAGCTTTTCGGCCTCTTGTTAACGTCATGGATCTTGGTGATCATCTCCAGAAACGCCTCTTCCACATTCACATTCCCCATTGCAGAGGTTTCCAAGAAGGAGAGGCCCTCTGACTGGGCGAAGATCTGCGCCTCCTCCGCCTGCACTTCTCTTGAAGATGATGATGGGGCATTGCTTCCCAGGTCAGATTTGTTGCCAACGAGAACGACGACCATCTCCGGGCTTCCAAACTGTCTCACTTCGAGCAGCCATTTCTTTGTGTTCTCAAACGTCACCCTCCGCGTGATGTCATACACCAGCAGCGCGCCCAGTGCTCCCCGGTAGTACGAACTTGTGATTGCCCTGAATCTGTCAACCCCAATTCACAAAATGTCTTTACTTTGAATCCATTTCAAAGTATTCCATCATGCATATATGTTAATTACTGATGTTTTATGAAGAAGAAAAAATTGAAGTTAGAGAAGGGGGTAGGGTAGGGACGGACCTCTCTTGACCAGCAGTGTCCCAAATTTGAGCCTTGATAACCTTATTGTCGCAGACCCTCACATTCTTGTAAGCGAACTCCACACCAATGGTTGGTTTGGAATCCAAGTGGAAGGTATCTTTAGCGAACCTGGAGAGGAGATTAGATTTCCCCACCCCCGAGTCTCCAATCACCACTGTTTTGAATAGATAGTCACACTCCTCATCCATCCTCACCTGCATGCGCTACTGCCACCTCTTTCATTCACTTCCCAACAATATAATACTCTCCACCTGTCCCTCGGTGGTTCCACTTCCTCAAAAATTAAACATGAAATGAGTAAAGTTTAATTTGATGCCTAATATTGATTGTATTTTCAAATTTTTAAAAAGAACATCCAATTCTCTTACATGTCCCACACCGGAAAAGTTTGGATGAACAAAGTGCTATATTAACACATGAGCTACTCCCTCTATGAGGTTGACCTATTCGGATGGAACCCCGAGTCTTAACAAAAATGATGACACGATTATAATACATAACAAACGGATGAAAGAAAATGAACCGATGAAAAAAAATGAATGGATGACACGATCCACCATTCAGGACAGAACCCCGAGTCTTAACTAATTCACTCATCACTTACTTGAAGTTTATATGACATACTCGGTATATATTAATCTAGAACTCTATTAGTCTCATTAAACCACTCCCCCTGTTTCATAAAACTTGGCAAAAGCGAGAGAAATAACTTTAGCCATATATTTTTTACTTTTAAGTTTAAAGGTTTTGGAACGACCAAAAATAAAAATCGACCAAATTTTATGAGACGGAGGTAGTTTCATTTATCTAAATTATTACATATGACCATTCAATTGAGATACTACCTCCGTCCCACTAAGATTGGGACGGAAGAAGGTGGCACGGTTATTAAGAAAAGTGAGTTTATGTGGTTGATATTAAATTGATAAAGTAAGAATAAAGTAAGAATGATTTACATCCACACAATCTTTACCAAATTTGGTATGGGACAATCTTAGTGGGACTTCCCGAAAAGGTAAAATGGGACAATCTTAGCGGGACGGAGGGAGTATTATTTAAAGACAATTAACCCTTTTAATCTAATTTTATAATGATCTATTTTCGGTGTCGACGGGATTTGTTTTTCGTAGAATGACTCACCTCGTGAACCGTAAGTTAAAGTTCCCAATACTCCTTCGTAACTCGCCAGCTGCATCCCCATACGTTATGAGTAAATTTTATTTTGTGTTCTTTGAATTCCCAATTGGAATTTCCAGGTTTGAACCGTAATCATCCGGTTCCGAGCCGGAACCGAGGTTTTGATTCCCAAAAATCACAAAGGTTATAAGTTGCCTAGCCCTCCTAAACCAAAGGTTATAAGAGCATCTCCAATGCGGTTTTGTGTTTCTATTAAATTTGAAACCGACATTCTGTGAATATTATAAATATATATGCATATCCTATGTCGCACACTTTAAAATCTTCATTGATTTGAAGAAGAAGAAGAATAGTGATAAGTGTGTAGAATGATGTGAGCAACGATATCCTAACTTGAGTCCCATTTCGCAATCCGGCCACACAGGGGATTAGATATGAGGGCAACCCCGACCCCGATTCACCCCAAAATTTAAAAATTTCTATATTTTGAGGTAAGATATACTGTGTAACTATTCTCAAAAGTATTCTTTGTACCGGTCCAGTGTTCTGGCTCCGCCCCACGGCCACATATATACTCGAAACACCAAGTCTAGCTAGATTTGATTGGTTGGAGAGAATAGTTAGTAGTCAAATATAAAAAGTTTCTGTCTAATAAATTTAATCCAACTCTAAGAATAATCAAAATGATCATATTTTGTGGGACGCACGGAGGAGTATATATAAAACAAGGAAACATGAATAGAAAAGGGGTATGTTTTTAGGGTGTTGCTTTGAAAGAAATGTATGATTAGGTTGAAAATGAGACGAAAGAAAAGTGAATTTGTTTGTTTTTAAAGACAAATACTTTATCCGTCTCATTAATATTGACTATCTTTTCATTTAAGTATGTCTCATACTCCTATCAAATTTGTTAATTTCTGTGTAATTCAAAATCATCATTTTCAATTTATCAATTAAATAACACAGACAAATACATTTTAATTTTTTCTTGTATCAATCTTAGGGGAAAGTAATATGTTCTTCTTGTGGAAAATATTTTTTTTTGTACCAATATATCTTTGAGACTCAATAAAATTTATTTATTTATTTATTTATTTATTTATTTATTTATTTATTTATTTATTTATTTATTTATTTATTTATTTATTTATTTATTTATTTATTTATTTATTTATTTATTTATTTATTTATTTATTTATTTATTTATTTATTTATTTATTTATTTATTTATTTATTTATTTATTTATTTATTTATTTATTTATTTATTTATTTATTTATTTATTTATTTATTTATTTATTTATTTATTTATTTATTTATTTATTTATTTATTTATTTATTTATTTATTTATTTATTTATTTATTTATTTATTTATTTATTTATTTATTTATTTATTTATTTATTTATTTATTTATTTATTTATTTATTTATTTATTTATTTATTTATTTATTTATTTATTTATTTATTTATTTATTTATTTATTTATTTATTTATTTATTTATTTATTTATTTATTTATTTATTTATTTATTTATTTATTTATTTATTTATTTATTTATTTATTTATTTATTTATTTATTTATTTATTTATTTATTTATTTATTTATTTATTTATTTATTTATTTATTTATTTATTTATTTATTTATTTATTTATTTATTTATTTATTTATTTATTTATTTATTTATTTATTTATTATTATTGCACATCCCGTGATTCTGGTGTCAAACTATTTTTAGAAAAGGGCATCGTGTGAGACAATCATTGGTGTCCACCATGTGACACCATTCACATGAGCATCATCGGAATTCTTCGAGTTTTAACACAAATTTTCATGATTTAGGTTGTTGAGTGATTAAGAATCCAAATACAAACTAACATGGACAATTTTAAGGTACTGCCCCGTTTTGAGATTGAACTTTTATGATACAACTCTAATACTTGATTAATATTTGCAGACACAAAATTGTTAACTACCCCACTTAGGTAACGATTTTTTTAATTGGATTGAGATTTTATTAATCACAAAAGTAGCAATACTTAGAGCATCTCCAATGCTATAATGTCCACGGTGCACATGTGGCATGAGTGATAGCCACATAAATATTAGCAAATAAATTATGTCTCTCCTTATTTGAATGATTTTATACAATTTTGGTAAGTTTTTCCCTGCAATGTCAACAACAATGTCAACATCTAGACGGTCTCCTTGACAATGTGGAGAAAAACTTACCAAAACTGTATAAAATCATTCAAATAAAAAGAGAAAGAATTTATTTACTAATATTTATGTGGCTATTTTTCATGCCACGTGTGCACCGTGCACATTTTACCATCTTGCCAAAAAACCCACGCTGTACTGGGAGAAGAGCAGTCAGAAGAATCGTAGACAGAAGGTGATGGACAAGAGTGAGTAGCCAAGATTATTAACTGTTTCCATGTGAGGATCCCAATAATTGCTACGATGTATGTGCTTTTTTTGTTGAAAAGATTGTTTTTTTGTGACACGGGTTGATCATGGTTTGCCTAACTAATCTAAATTAAAGAATTTTCTTCGCCAACCCACCCACTTAAATTGATTCTTAAGAATTGTTCAATTATTCTCATCTTTTCAAAATGCATACGGGTACAATCATATAGGGAGAGCCTCCCTAATTAAGGGCGCACTATTCTAAAGCGAAATCGCTGCTGTTTCACACTTTCAAATAAGAGTAACGTTCCTTTAAAGTTTAAGCCATTCGCTAACTAAACACGAAGAAAGTGTTTACTTCGTTGCCAAACGGACACCTAAAATGTCGCTTACTAAACATACCACTCCCTCATGTATTAATTAAACGTAGTTTAAACTAACTCAATTTTTTGTATTTATCCTTACCCCTTGTCCCTAACCCCACCCCTTACTCGTTCCCATACCGTTGTTACCTCCTACCCCTACCCTAACTGATCCCCTACCCCTACACTATCCCGTACGACCCCTACCTCGTACCGTACCCTTACCCACCACCTACCCATGTACAACCCTACCCCCACTCCGTACCCTCTTACCCCTACCCCTACCTTGCAACCGTACCCTTGCCCCGACAGCCTAATGCAGGCTGTTGTTGGTGATAATGGTGGAAACCGACGTCACGAGAAAGATGACCGGCGGCTGCTCCTGTTTGTCGGGCGCCGTGGAGATAGAGGCGGTTGAGGTTGTGCCGATCATTGAGAGAGAGAGAGAGAGTGTGTGTGTGAGAGAGCAAAAACCCTAAGCGGCTGATACCATATATGAGGTACAAAATAATGAATTTTGGGAAATAATGGGTTACGCTGTTGGGTGCCTTAGCCTTATATTTATAATAAACAAAATTATGAAAGTTACACATGACTCCCAAGATAATACATTATTTGCCCCTATCCCCTCCGTCGACCCCCTACCCGTGGCCCATATCCCTACCACCTACCCGTTCCCATATCGTTATTACCTCCAACCCCTACCCATTCCCATACCGCTGTTACCTCCTACCCCTACCCTTACCCGTCCTCATACCCCCTAACCCCCTACCCACCTACCCAAACCCCTACACTTCTAAACATGCCCCAACCCTTACCTGTACCCCGTACCCTACTCCTACCCCATTCCTGGGGGATAGGGGTAGGGGGTTGTGCCATGGGCATGGTAGGTGATACAGGTAGGGGAATGGCAAGGGTAGGGGCGGGGTATGAGCAGAAGAGGGCAAGGGCAGGGGCTAAGGCAAGGCTATGGGTACGCATATTGGTGGCAAGAAAGGGATAGGATGTGTCTATATATGTATAGGGTTATTTTACACATTTTAATGTTGAACGATGTTTTAAACACTCTGAAGTAAACATGAACTTATAGCACTACTTATTTTACCTGCTGCTTATTAACACAAGTCTTAATAAGTGCCGCTTAGTAACCGTTGAAGTAAACGTGTCATGAGCGTCAGAGAGTCAATATTTGATAAAAGTTCTTTAGTTTGTCCTTTATGGATGACGATTAGTAGTACATGTGAAGAACCAATGGGAAAACTTATCAAAGAGGAAACTACAATAAAAATTTATTGTAGGAAAAACTTATTAAAGAGGAATTCTAAAGGTTTTATGT